GGTTTCTGAGGCAGTAAATCTTTATGGAAGTAGATTGCCCAGTCTTCCTTCCACAGAGTGGCTGGTGGATTTGAGCAGCCAACCTTCTGGTTAGCAGTCAAATACCTTAGGCACTATGCTACCACAGCTTCTTTGACCGTAAAAAGAGTGGGACAATTGCAAGCCTGACTTTAAAGAGATGTTGAATACATATACCCAGGCAAGAATTGTGATACGTCTTCAAGTGATGCAAAAGAAGATTAAGACTTCGTCCTTTCCTCCAGAGAGTTTACAGTCTAATTGGGTAGATGTTTTATACAAATAGAAAGTATTGTAGTACTATGGCAGTTCAGTTTGTGTGTCAACTTGGCTGGGCCTGGTTGAGTGGCTGGGTAGCTGGATGTAGTATTCCCCATGATGAGACTAGTAATCAGCTCCATGGTGGAATCTACTGTGAGCAGCTGAGTAGCTGCCTTGGAGATGTGGTCTGCTTCCTGCATATAAGGAGAAGCCTTGGGGAATGGTCCCTAGCTTATTAGCACACTTGAACCCTGTATGTAGCCGAGTTGTTGTTCAGCAGTCTGCCATGCTCTGCCGATCTTGCGACTTTTAATGGACTTGAATTATGGCCTGCCATATGGTTTGGTAATATTGGAACTGTGCCTTATTACTTTTCAACCTTGGGCTTGTCAGCCTCAGCAGCCAGCAGCTGAGTGAAGAGCCTCCAGCTTCAGTGGGTTGGGAGCAGGAGGCAGAGCTGAAGCTTAAGGTTGAGGGGCTTTCAACCAGCCCCTAGAGCCTGGCACTTTGAATTCAGACTTAAAGCCTCCAAATTGTAAGAATAAACTCCTGTTTGTTAAGGCCATCCCATTTGTGATATATTCTTGTCAGAGCAGTACTAGGTAACCAATACAAGCACCATATTTGGTAAATTGTATGTCACAGGCTCTATATAATGGCCTTTGGAATCCAGAGGAGGTAGAGACCCGGATGCATTCTAGAGAGGAATCAGGAAATGCTTTAGGATTTGGCTACTTGGAATGGAGGAGAAAAAAAATCTGTTATAGGCCTAGTAGTACAAATACGTATGAAATACAAATCGGATCTTTCTCGATATCTCCAGAGACTCATTTCCGGGTCCCTGCTGGGCCAGTGACAAAAGGCATTCTAAACATACCTTGTATCTATTTGCCAAAGTTTGAATATGGAAATCATTTAGCAGAAATGTTACAGAGCTCACGATTTTTTAAGAAGGTGACCAAATAATTCATTGTTCATAGTTGTAAAGCATAGTTTTGAGTGTGAAATAGGATACTATTAGAAATGACAGCTAGGGAACAGATGTAACTGGTACTGTTCTGGGTACATTCAGACATAGGTATAACCATTGACACACAAACTGATAACCACACATGCTATCTAATTTGTTAAATTCTCTCTTGTTGTTTTCCTAATATAGTCTTCAAAGTGGTTATTTAAGACCAATGTTTTTCCAAACTGTGGTTTGTAACCCATTAGTGGGTCATGAAATGAGTTTAGTGCCTGGCACCCAGCCTTAAAACTTTAAAAAATCAATATGTTGTATTCAGTAAGGATAAATATTATTTAGTTTAATTATAAATATGCAAATATACCCATATATGCAACATACTTAGGACAAAATATCCTGATAATGAGCCCTTATTGACTGAGTCTAAATCATGTGTCTGCCCCAGGCTTGTGCTGAGATGGAGAGAAGAATGTTGCCAATTTGGCTTCTGTAATAGGAATTTAGCTTTACTTTCTGTTAGAAGAATTATCCAAAAGGGACATTGGAATTCTTTAAGAAAGTATATGTATATGTGTGTGGTATGTTGGGAGGACGAGGAGTTGGATAACAGACACCCAAAAAGATTTACAAGTTTCCACTATAGTTCTGTAAAGGAAGGAATTGAATTAAACAATTTCAAAGATAAAATTTGGACAAAATCTTACGGTGGTAGTCACAGCTGACTGACAAACCCAATTCTTGTTCCCAACCCCTCATTTCCTTTTAGAGACTGGAAGATTGAGAAACTTGCTTTTTTTTGGGGGGGGGGGGTTCTTTTAAAGGTAGGTGTCGCCATATGGCACAGTTCTAGTCTTTGTTTGCCAAGACTTGTTAGGAAGGTTTTTGTTTGGTTTTCTCTTAAAGGGATGGATATTACTGGTACCAAGGATTCCCCCTTCTTTCTGCCTTGAGTGCAAATGTGATACCAGAAGTTATGACTGCTATCTTGTCACAGTGAGGCAACAGCTATGAAGGTGAAAACTTTTGCACAGAGCGGATGGAATAGAAAGAAAAAATGAGCTTGAATCTTTACATTTTTGCTAAACCATCTCCATCTTAAACTTCTTGTTATGTGAGAAAATATCTTCTGCTTTAAAAATTCAACCTTATTTGGATTTCCCATTTTTTGCAATCAGAGAAGTCCTAACAGCTTTTGAATATTATATTCCCTTAGTGAAGGAAGAAATTAATGTATGGCTGTAGCAGATAGGGAAAATTCTAACATTCTATTGGTCTCCAAATGTGTATAACAATTATCTTTATTATCTCATTTCTTTTCTTTACTTCACCATTAAATTAAATGGTACTTTTCTTTCAGCGCTCTAGATTGTTGTTGCTTGAGAATGGGGTCAGAAAACTCTGGCCCTATAGTATATTCCTTCGGAAGGAAGGTTGGGCAATCCTACTTCCGTAGATACTGCCTCGGAAACCCAAGAAGGGGTCGCTATGAGTCGGGGCCGACTCGACGGCACATAACAACAACAACAACAACAATAGTATATTCCTACTTATCCTGAATGGCCTGTACTTCACCAAATTGGCTACTTTGGTCGTTCCCAAACAGCTTGTACTTTTTGCTTTTGTGCTCTTACTTATTGTATCAGTCAGGGTTTTTAAGGGAAACAGAACTAATAGGATACACACACGCACAATTTATTGGCTCATGTGATTGTCGGGGCTATCAAGTCTGAGATCTGTAGGGTGGGCCAACAGACTGGAAACTCACAGAAGCTGTGCTGCAGTCTTGAGGCAGAATTGCTTGACTGGGAAACCTCCATTTTTGTTCTTAAGGCCTTCTAACCTATTGGATGAGGTCTACCCACATTATTAAGGATAATTTCCTTTAATTCAAGTCTACTGATTGTTGATGTTAACCACATCTACAAAATAGCTTCACAGGAAAATCTATGTTAGTGCTTGGTTAAATAACCAGCCTAGCCAAGTTGACATATAAAACTAACCATCCCACTTATGCTATTTCATCTAGAATTCCTTTCCCTCTGACTTCTGAATGACCAAGTCTTGCCCATTCTTTGTGACCCAGCTTAAATATCATAGTCTTTACTAAACATGTGCTCTCCTTTCTCTATCCCATTTCCTGCCTCTCCAGTTCTCCCCTTTCCCTACTTCCTTGTGAAGATTGCACTGAATCTTATGTTCAATCTTGCTTTTCTACTTCTTTTTGTAGAGTTACTGTATTTACATGTATCCCTTAAACATCATTTTGATTTAAATTTCTTTCAGATTTTTTAAAAGTATATGTTCATATATAATCTTTTAGATATACTTTTTTTCACTTAATGTCATATTGCTAAGATTCATATATATTGTACGTCTTAGTTACCCATTATGTGCAACAAATTACCCCAGAACTTAGTGGCTTAAAACAGCCCATAGTTTCTGTGGGTCACAATTTCAGGCACAGTTTAAAAGTACTCTGTATCAGGATCTCTTATGAGGCTACGATCAAGGTGTTACTTAGGGCATAGTCTTCTCAAGGTTCAACTGGGACAGATCCACTTCTAGACTCACTCAGAGGCCATTGGAAGAATTAACTGCTTTATGGGCTGTTAGATTGATATCCTTGGTCAGTCCTCAGATCCTTGCTGGCCATTGACCAGAAGTTGCCCTCAGATTCTTAATAGGTGGTCTTCTTCATTAAAGTACACAGGAAGAGTCAGAAGAGAATACCAGCAAGGTAAAAGTCATAATCTATTGTAACTGATTCATGGAAGTGATAGCCCATCATGGTTACCCTATTCTCTTTGTTATAAGAAAGTCACTATGTCCAGCCCATACTCCAGGGAAGAAGATTACCCAAGGGTGTGAATACCAGGAGGCAGAGATCATTAGGGCCACATCAGAAACTGCCTACCACTTTATCACTGTCTTACTGCCTCTGCTGATTTTTAAGGTTTTTATAATTTGATTTCAACAATCTGACTATATTTCTCACTTCTCAACATGGACCCCTGTTTAGGTATGTCTTCTTTAACATCTTCTTTCAGTGTTTTCTGAATGAATCTAGCCCACATTGATCTCTTTCTTTTTCTGTTCTTATTGAATTTGATGTTTATATTACACATTTAGCACTTTGTTATATATTGAGGAAGTTCATATATGCATAGTAGGTACACATTAAACTTTGGATTGGATGGATTAAGTATTTTATTTTATGTATCTTTTTAACCAATTAAATCTTTTCATCTCACCTATGTTTTCCATCAATCGATCAAATAAAATATATATACAGGTAGTCCCCAGATGATGAAATTCCATTCCTAAATCTATCTTTAAGTTGAATTTGTATGTAAATTAGAATAGTTAGGTCCAGTCATATCTGGTTCACATCTAATGTCATTTAGTCAAGTGTTTGTCTTAGTATATAGTGTACCTTTCTGTGCATAAAAAAACAAACACTTTCAGATGCGCTAAAACATCTTTAACATAATAACACAATAATAATAATAATAATAATAATAATAATAATGACACCATTTTGATAGACATTCACAAAGTAGTACCCATTTTTTATCATGAACCTTTGTAAGACCTTGAATTTTTAATATAATAGGCTTTATGGGGATTGTTTTGTAACTATGACTTGTATCTAAGTCAGATGTTCATAATCCAGAGACTGCCTGTATGTGCATACTGACTTGTTTGAGTGGATTTCTCTTACTGTTTTTGATCTCAGATATTTCTGAATTTAATGGAGTCAGAAGGACCCCCGGAGTCAGAGAGTTCAGAAAAATCAGTCGTTTTTTCACAGCAAGAAGAAGAAGAAGAAACAACCAGTGGACCAGAGGAAATAAGCACTGTGAACCCCCTCTTACAGCCTGCCCTCACAGGGAATGTAGAAGGCCTGCAGAAGATTTTTGAGGATCCCGAGAATCCTCATCATGAGCAGGCCATGCAGCTACTCTTGGAAAAAGACATCGTTGGGAGAAATCTGTTGTATGCAGCTTGCATGGCTGGGCAGAGTGATGTGATTAGAGCTTTGGCAAAATACGGTGTGAATCTGAATGAAAAAACTGCCAGAGGTATTTCATCTGTTTTTTCTTATTGTTATTACTTAAGAATAGTTATGACTACCCAATGATACTATGTACTATTTTTAAGGTTAGATAAATTTGATGTGCCTGCTTTATAGTTGGCATATGTAGACATACATATACGTATATATGAATATATATATACATATATGTGTACACATGTATCTATATCTATATTAATACAGTATAATATAGTAGTTATGAACACAAAGTTCACTATTTATTTAGCTGGGTGATTTGGGCAAGTTACCTAATCTTTTTGTGTCTCAGTTTTTTTATCTTCAAAATAGGGATAATAATTGTATTTTCCTTATAGGTTATTATGATGATTAATAAGATAATACATATAAATAGCCTATCACAGTGCATAAGGTCCCTAGGTAGAGCAAATGATTTATGCGTGGTTACTAACCTAAAGGTTGGTGGTTCAAATCCATTCAGCAGAGTCTTAGAAGAAAGGCCTGGTGATCTGCTTCCATAAAGATTACCTAGGAAAACCCTATGGAGGGGTTCTACTCTATAACATATGTGTTACCATGAGTTGGAATTAACTTGATGGCAGTGGGTTTGTGTTTTTGGTATCATAGTGCTTGGCACATAGTAAATTGGTACACAGTAAATGCTCAGTAGTAGTACTGTTATCTTTCTCTTAGATTTATTAGTTTTAAGTAGACATTACCTAATTAGCTCTTTTAATTCAGTAACTTGTGTTTTTCGGTTACAAATATAATACATGGTCATTGTAGAAAATGACAATAAATAGAAAGTATATATTTTCTTCATGTGCTCATGGTAAATTTTAAAATATTGACAAATGTTAGACCATAAAGGAAGTCTAAACAAGTGCATAAGAGTAAGTGTCATGCAGTTTTTGATCTCTGATCTCAACAAAATAAAATAGTAAAATAAATAGCAAAAAGGGAAGTGAAAATCTATAATTTTAGAAACAAAAACACTAAATCATTTATAGATCACAAAAGATATTAGGAAATTAGAAAAGATTTAAGTGGCAACAGGATCACTATATATCAGAACCTATGAAATACAACTAAAATGAAAATTTAGTTTAATGCATATATTAGAATATAAGAAACATTGAAAATCAGTAAGCTAAGCATTCAGCATAAAGTTAGAAAAAGAACGACTAAGTAACCCAAAGGAAGTAGAAGAAATAAACTAATGACATTGAAAATGAAAACATAGTAGAGAAGATCCACAAAACCAAAATCTGGTTCAGCTAAAAAGACTGTTTTCAGTTGAAAAATCTTTGATGATATTCATCAGAGAGAAGACAAACAATATTTGCCATTAAAAAAATTGGAGCATTAACATAGGAAAAGCTAAGATTAAAAATGTCATTAGAAAATATTATAAACATCTTCTTGACACAGCATTTGAAAACTTGGATGAAATTGGCAATTTTTGAATAAAGTATAAATGATCAGAATTGATTAATGAAAAATGAAAATCTTAACTAGATCAATGGCTGTTAAAAAAATTGAATAAGAAATGAAAATCTACCTGCTTCGCCTGGCATGAATTTCACAGAAATTGTTTTAAAGATGAGGTCTATTAAACTTTTAGGGAAGAGGTCATTTCTAACATACATATGTTCTGGAGAATAAAAGGGAATTGCTTACCTTGTTTTTTATAAGAGGAATAATTTTTGTAGCAAAGCCAGTTAAGAGCAGTACTAGAAAGAAAAATTATAAGCTGATCTTACTTAATAACCTGGTTGCAAGCAACCTAAATAAAATACTAATAAATTGAATCAAAGAGCATGTATTAAAATTTTAATTAGACTATGTTGGGTTTATCCCATTGATACAAGGATGGTTTTAACATTAGAAAAAATATTCACGTAATTCACTACATTAAAAGATTAAATTGGCAAAACCACATGATCATCTCAGTAGATATAAAAAAGTCATTTTGAAAAGCTAGCACTGAAATTACTGGAACTAACTGAAAGTTTCAGCAAAGTGGCAGGGTACAAGATCAACATACAAAATTCAGTCGGTTTCCTTTACACTAATGAAGAGAATTCTGGAAAGAAAATCAGGAAATGATACCATTTACAATAACTACCCAAAAGATGAAATATTTAGGAATAAATCTATCCTAGACACAAAACACCTATACAAAGGAAACTACAAAACACTACTACAAGAAACCAAAAGAGACCTACATACGTGGAAGACTATATCATAGTTATGGATAGGAAGAGTTACGAGTGTCAATACTACCCTGAGTGATCTACAGATATAATGCAATCCTGATCCTGATTCCATCATCATTCTTTACTAAAAAAAACCCAAAAACCCCAAAAAAACGAACTCACCACCATTGAGTTGCATCCAACTCATAGTGACCCCTTCTTGGGTTTTCAAGGTGGTATCTCTACGGAATAGATTGCCCCATCTTCCTTCTGAGGAGTGGCTGGTGGGTTTGAACCACCAGCCTTCTGGATAGCAGTCAAATGCCTTAGGGACTACACCACCAGAGCTTCTTTAAAGAAATGGAAAAACTAATCAACTTTATTTAGAAAGGAAAGAGTAAGATACTACTAAAGATGAAGAACAAAGAAGGGGACTTCACACTTCTCATTCTCAAAACCTTTTACACAGCCATGGTAGTCAAAACATCCTGGTTTGGTACAATGAAAGACACATAGACCAATGGAACAGAATTGAGAACTCAGAGGTAAATCCATCCACCTATGGACAGGTGATCTTTGACAAAGAGCTAAAACTTATTAAATGGGGAAGAAATGATCTCTTTAATAAACGATGCTGGCAAAATTGAATATCTATTTGCAGAAAAATGATACAGGATCTATATCTCACATCGTATACAAAACTAACTCAAGTTGTATCAAAAGCATGCACCTAAAATCTGACACTATGAAGACCATCAAAGAAAAAGTAGGGACAAACTTACAGGTCCTAATACATTATTGAAAAAAAAAATTAGCACTCACTTATGATGGAAGTTCTTAGCTAAATAAGAATAGAAGAATATTTATCAATAACCTGAAGGAAACTTACCTAATATTGAAATTTTAGAAGCATTCTAAAATCAGAAATATTATATAGTATAAATATTATATGATGTTCACTGTCATGGCTTTCATTAGTGATTGTATTGGAGGCCTTAGCAAGTGCAATAAGACAACAAAAATAAATAAGAGACCCAATGAAGCATTGTTCTGGTGCTGACTTTTACTAGCTTTCACAGCTGATTGTTAAATATTCAGGAGTTTTGCAAAGTGATTTATATCACATTGGAACTTGAAGTTGGCCCAGAGGGAGCACATTCACCATGGAAACTGGTAAGTGGTACAAATCAAGACTTTTCCTCCAAGAGCACTGAATATTAAACATTTGCTAACATATCACTGAATATAAAGATTAAAAATTACACTTGCTGCCAAGTTCATTCCAACTCATGGTGACCCCATGTGTTTCAGAGTGGAGCTGTGTTCCATAGAGTTTTCAATGGCTGATAATTCAGAATAGATTGCCAGGCCTTTCTTCCAAGGTATCTCAGTGTGGACTTGAATCTAACCTTTGACTAGCAGCTAAGCATGCTAACTGTTTGCACCAACCAGGGATAAACAAAACTCATTATTCATAGGCACATAGATTTGAAACCAAGGGAATCTACTAACTGTTGGTACTAATAAGGTTTAGCAGTAGTATTAATAGAAGATCGACGTGTCAAATCAGTAGTTTCATATCCATCAACATTGATTTAGAAAATATGGTAAAAAGTAAGAACTTATTCACAACAAAACTGTAAGTAAACTAGGAATAAATCTGATAAAAGAATTGTAAGAAATTTATGGCAAAAGTATAAAGCTGTATTGAATGATGTAAAAGAAGATACAAATTTTATCTATCTATCTATCTACACATACATATATGGGAGCTCTGGTGGCGTGGTGCCCAATGCATTTGACTGTTAACCAGAAGGCTGGCAGTTCAAACCTACCAGCCACTCCTTGGAAAGAAAGTTGGGCAATCTACTTCCATAGAGATACCACCTCAGAAACCAAGGGTGGGATTGCTATGAGTCAGAGATGACTCGACGGCACATAACAACAACAACAATATACATACATATATGTGTGTGTGTGTGTGTGTGTATTTTTTTTTTACAAGCAGTAAGATTAAATGTCATAAAGATGAAAATTTTCCGAAAATTAATTTATGAATCTAGTCAATATCTGAGCACAGTTTTATTGTTTTCTTTTTTTTTTTTAAATACCAACTGAGAAGCTGACCTTAAATTTCAGTGGGAAAAATCATAAACTAATATATGATTCTTTAGAACATTGGTTAGTTATTTGGAAAAAAGTAAAATTAGATACCTACTTTGTACCATGCACGTAAATCAAATAGGTTCTTGTAAAAATGTTAAAACTTTCTGAAAAGCAGGAGAGTTTTGCTGTATTCTTGATATAGCACAGGATTTCTTAAAACAAGTTATGAAGAATATAAACTATTAAGGGAAAAGACTGTTATATTTAACTATGTTGTTGTTGTTGTTTGCCGTCGAGTTGGCCCCGACTCATAGCAACCCCTCCTTGGGTTTCCAAGGCAGTATCACTACGGAAGTAGATTGCCCAACCTTCCTTCCGAGGAGTGGCTGGTGGGTTTGAACCGCCAGCCTTCTGGTGAGCAGTCAAGTGCCTTAGGCACTATGCTACCAGAGCTCCTATATTTAACTATATAAAATTTAAAAATTTTCACAAAATGTTGCCACAACAAAATGAAAAGATAAGCCACAGACTGGAAGAAGATATTTGCAATATCTTCTCAACTAACAAAAGACCTATCTATCATATGAAGGGAACCTATTAATCAGAAGCATTCAGCTAATAGAACAATAGGCAAAAGATACTGACAAGCAATTTATGGAAAAGAAATTCTCACAGCCAGTCAATATATGAAAAGATGTTCAACTACATATTGTTATTGTTAAGT